GAGTAAGTGAAGTCAAGTCAAGTCAACATGCATTCATGAAACGCTTGTTACATGTCAGGGACTGGCCTCTACAAACACAGCGGTCCTTGGGAATGCATCACACCTGGGGTATGCCCCTGATTTCTTTCTGCTCATGGCTTCCATTCATAGCCTTCACATTTCCATTTTTTTCCTTACACAGACCACACACAGTTCTCTGCTCCCTCCTCCTCCCTGCAGTCCTTTGCCAAGTGAGGCTTGGAGGCAGGGAGGCCACTAACGTAGCCCTGAGACGCCCTCTCCATCATTGACTTCAGATTCACCCCCGCAGCAGCAGCAGTATGAAAGCACTAGCAATAGATTTGCAAAGCAGCTTGTGACTAATGGTGAATCCAGTGGGGTTGTCCTCCTCAGAAAGCCCCGCAGAGGAAGGGTTGAGGACTTGGAGTATCAGTAATAAAATGGTTCATTTAAGTCCTTAGCTAGAAATAACAGGGACTACACCACCCCTAGGCAGAAATCTCCTGTGTGGCCAAGCCTCTGCCTCCCACTGTATGTTCCTGAGTGAAATGAACCGAGAGGCTCCCCGAAGAGACACAAAAGCAGGTACTCCCTCACTCTGAAAGCTAAGTGGTAGAGAAAGCATTTACAGGATTGGGGAATTTAGAGCTCAAAGGGCCCCACTGAGAGCATCTGGCCCCAAATCTCACTTCACAGATGAAGAAACTGAGGCCCAAAGGCACAGAGGTTTTAAGGATTTGAAGTGGGGTGTGAATCCAGATCCTTAAGGTCACTCAGAACTCTGAATTCAGGGCTCTCTCTAGTGTCTCCCCAGGCAGACAAACGTGCTCTCAGGTCTGTTTCAGCCTCTTTGCAGGCGAGGGCTGTAGTTGGTGTGACCTCTAAAACCACTCAGGGGGAATTGTCTTAAAGGAGTCTAGCTAGAGAAGGGGGGGCCATGCTTCAGGAAGAGGCACTGGTGGCTGCTCTAAGCAATTTCTGACCCCAAAATACAGAAACTAGTCATTAGCTCAAATAAGTGGAAGGCTGAGCCTTTCTGGGGTCAAACTTCTGAAGGACTTGCCTCAAACATGGCAGTACCTGGTTGGCAAACGGAAAACGGTCATCATTGCCCCAGAGTCAGGAGAAGGAAGGTTCATTTCTTTCTAGCCAACGTTAATCCTTTACATTTGCATTATGCTCTCAGCTTTTCAAAGCGCATAATTATTTCCTCTCTTGAACCTCTTCCAAAACTTGGGAGGTAGGTAGGCAAGTATTATTTCCATTTTACAGTTAAGGGAACTGAGGTATACACTGGGTATGTGACTTCCCTAAGTTCATACGGTGAGATGAAGATATACACACAGGTCTTTTGTTAACCTGGAACTCTTTCACCAGTGAAATTAGGTTCACCCTTACCTCACTGGACTTCCTTAAATTTTGACACTATGAGTCAGCTGACTATTCACTCTAGTACATGCCTCTGCCTTGCTAAACCACTTCTCCCATTGGCAAGTTCCTTCCAGGGGCCTCCATTTTGGGTCCTGTCTTAAGCCAACCCTGCTTCATTCATTTTCAGCTGTGTTTCAGACTTTTAGGTCTTTGCTACCTCGTCCCATCATGGATGCGGCCCTCCCTCCCTTTTCAGCTCTCTTTTACGTGTTGTCTTCCCCCGTTAGAATGTAAGCTCCCTGGCGGCAAAGATTCTCTTTCTTTTTGCTTGTGTTTGTATTCCTAGCACTTAGGACAGGTCCTGGCATGTAGTAAGAAATCGATAAATGCTTGGTGCTTTACTGCCTGAACTGTTGTGCGGCCTGTGAGAAGTATCTTAGACTGTTGATAATAAAGTCTCTGATGCTATTCTTGTGGAAAAGACGGACAGATATGGGATACAGACAATGGTATAGCTATGTGGACTTGGAACTGGTGGAGTGGTTGGATTCAGAGAGTTAGATGTTAGCTTGAAAGGAGGTATTCAGTGAAGCACCCCAGGGATCTGGGCTTGGCCCTGTGCTATTTAATGTCCTTTATTCAATGACCTGGATAAAGGCATAATCTCTATCCTTATCAGATTTGCTTATGACACAAAGCTAGGAGGGATGGCTAATACACTAGATGGCATCTCTTTCTTTTTCTGCAGTGTAGGCATAGTTAGTTCCTGGTCCATATCAGGTACTTAAGAACTACTTGTTGACTGATTGAAATTTAATACGAATAACATTTCTTACATTGGGGTTGAAAAACCTGCTCTACAATCACAGGATGGGGAGGCCTGATCAGAGAGCAGTTAGTCTGAAAAAGATCTTGGGGTTTTAAAGGATTATAAGGTCAGAGAAGTCAATAACGTAACATGGCAGCCAAAAAACTTAAGGTGAAAGGATTAGGCAACCATATACCCTCTTCCACCCTGCCCTGGTTAGACCATAGACCAATAGAATCTATTTTGCTAGGTTCTTATGGGATTATAGATCTAAAGCCAAAATGGACCACAGAGGCCATTTAGTCAACCCCATCTTTGTATATTTGAGAGGACTGAAGCTGAAGGAGGTCAAGTGACTTGCTCAGGGGTCACCCAGGTAATAAGTAGGAGGTAGGATTTGAACCCAGGTCCCCTGATTTCAGAGCCAGTGCCCTTTCCACTGTTTCTGAGCGCTACACTTCAGCAAAGACCCTGACAGTCTTGAGGATGTCCAGAGCAGGACAACCACTGCAGAAGGAAAGTGAAGGGCATTGTCTATGCCATGTGAGCACTGAGGAAAGTGGGGCAGTTCAGCTTCGAGAGAAGAGGACTCAGGAGGAACATAACAGGGGTGGCTCGGAGGTACCTGAAAGGCTGCCCCAGGGAAGGGCTCGGTTCGTTCTGTCTGGTTCCCCAGGACTGAATCGGGAACAATGGGGGGGTGGTGGTTTAGATTCACTCTAAAGCAAAACCTGCTAACAACCAGCTTTCCCAAGGTAGGACAGGCTGGCTGGGAGGGAGAGGGAGGGGTCCTACCTCACTGGAGGGCCAAAGCTAGACGAAAGCCACCTGCTGGGGGTGCAGTAGCATGGACTCTATTTCTTGCAGGAGACTGACCTAAATCACCTATATGACCTCTGAAGTCCCTTTCTGCTTCTGAGATTCTGATTTCGTGACGTCAAACCAGCAGAAGCTCATCTTTCTCTGGCACTGGCTGCCATATATGCTGGGTGAGTGGGCCTGCAGCGCCACAAACGATACTGGTAAACAGGCTAGGGAAGTCAATGAATTGTAATAGCCCTCACCCCTAAAGTCCTCTGGTGGCCCAGGGCAGACTCTGAGGTGCGGATGGTAGAGAGGGTGGGATTAGTGTCAGGGAAGTGGAGTAGGAGCATGACATTCCCCATCACCCTGATGAGTTCTGGGAAAGAATGAGCAGAGAGAAGCTGGTGAGCAAACCAGGAGAAACCAGACTTCTCTGTTGGAAACTTGGGATAAAGCCTCCATTAGCATTTCTTGAAGCTTCTAAAATGCATTCTGAAGGTGGGCTTATTTTATTTTTTTATTTTTGTATTTTATGCTCTTCGCATTTACAGAGAGCGACTGGCTGGGAGGACCCATCTCAGTGGGGGAAGTTTGCTAATACTAGTCCAGAGTGCTTGGTTACCACTGGGCACACCACCATGGGTGGCTCCTTCTGCTCGTGCTGGGTCTTTTTAGGGGGTATAGCATTCCTCCTCACACGCCACTTGCTCCCTTTAGACCCATGCTTTCACATCACGTCCTCACCATGTTTGGCACTCCTTCCTTCTTTCCCCTTCCCAGACAGTGCTGTTCCCTGAAACCCGTTTAATGGGCTTGTTATGGAGAGCTGGGGACAACACAAGTGACCAGGGCCATAGATGGGGCAGCCCGGACTAACGGTGTATTCGTGAGATCACAGAATTAGAGCTGGAAGGAACCTGAGAGCTCCACTATTAGTAAGACTGCAAGCACCTCGAGGGCAGGGACCGTTTTTGCTTTTTGGTGAACCCCAAGGGCTTGGCACGGTGCCTGGGCCATAGTAGGTGCCTAACAAACGTTTGTTGCCTTGAATCCAATTTACACATCATGTGCCCAGGGTCACACAGCTAGTAAATGTCTGGATGAGACAGAAGCAAAGGCATTGTCCTGTTGAGAATTCCTGGGAAGCTTCTCCTGAGTGACATGAGTCCCGTGCTTAGAGGACTGAAATCATAACATAGGAGAAAACCAGCAATAAAAGCAAATGGAAAGAGCCCTGGATTGGCAGGTAGATCCTGGCAACAGGACACCCACCCTGCTTTAATTCTACTCAAAGATGTGTATTAAATGCCACACAAGAAGAGGTATTTCTTTCTTTCCTTTTCTTTCAAAAATACTGTATTAATCCCACAAATCACCATAACCATTCCTTCTGCAAAAGCATATGGGTTCCTCTTCTACCCCTTCCTTTAAGAGTGGTATTATTATATGAGCCATAGTTCCCAGGCCCAGGATGATCTCATGGCGATTGTCCAAAGGCCAAGGGACCCACAGACGGTGCTAAGCTTCCCCTTTGACCTCCTCACCCTCCACACACATGCTGCTCTCCTCCTTTCAAAGGGGGAAGGCGGGCGGCAAGACCGTCCTTGAGCAACATGCTAGTGTTTAAAATTCACTCCCAGGTTTTCTTGAGCAGCCTTGGCCCCTTATTCCCTCTAATCTCTTCCCATCGAGTTTCATGCTAATCCCATCCTGCTTTCTTCTTTAAACTAATAAAAGATTAGGGTGACATTTTGAAAAGGGCAGCTCATTAAGCAGCCTCTTCCCCCACCTGAACAGATCACTCAGAGCAAAGGTAGCCAGCTGGCCATTAATCTTATGGTAATGAGGTGTCATCTTTCAAGGAGAGTCTCTTCCTCCTTTCCCTCTTTTTCCTCCTCCATCTCCTTTCCCCCTCTGGCTCCCTGGGAAGGTCAGAGGTACAGTGAGGACAGCCACATTCACAGTCTACCCTGGGTGCTGTTGCCTGGAAGCGGCTGCGTAGGAAGGCTGCACCCACCTGTACACTGTGGTGGGGGGAGAGCTCAGGCTGTCATAGACCAGCCTCACATGCCCCTGGTAGAGCTCCAGTGCCAAGGGGTCGTTGTCTCCTTTGTAGAGAAGGATGCCGTTGTCCTTGTCGGTGGCCACCTGTAAGGGGGCATCAAGAAGGGAAAAAGCTTGTTAACTCATTGAGGACCCCGAGGGCAGGGACATCCTGATGCTCAGAGCCCAGTGATCCCTCTCTTCTTTGATGACCCACAGCACTCACAGTCTATACTAGTCAGTGGGCACCTGGCCTTGTTAGTTAACTACACATCATCCTGAAGGCAGGCAAGAGGTCTCAACTGGAGTTGGCTTTTCCCTAGTATCTAGTACAGTACAGAGTAAGATGTTCAACAAATTTGATTATGATTATGATTATGATTATGATTACAATGATCATGGACACAGAACTGTGAGGAAGCTTAGAACTTACAGGTCCCTGATTTCAACCCCCTTATTTTTCAGATGAGGAAACAGGTCCAGAGAGGTTAAGTTCAATGTTACACAGGGTTACACAGGTAGTAACAGAATTTGAACCCAGACCCTCTGACTCCAAATCTATCATACTTTCCATTATTTCATGTTCTCTCTTCAAGCCTCCTGGCCTTCAATCAGATTTCCAGGAAAGGTAGCCAGCACTAAGGAATGGACCTGGGGAGAAACTGGTACTATTTCGATTCACAGAGTGTATAATCCTTCGCCCAGCCCTCTGCCCTTTAGGGTATGTACCTGGGTCATTTTGGGTGGATGTAGGGGGAGCCCTACTCTGTTCCAACAGAACTAATTTTTTTTTCTTTTTTTCTTTCTGGTGAGGCAATTGGGGTTAAGTGACACAGCTAGTAAGTGTCAAGTGTCTGAGGCTGTATTTGAACTCAGGTCCTCTTTACTCCAAGGTCAGAGCCAATGCACCACCTAGCTGCCCCCAGAACTAATGTTTTTTAAAAAATAAACGCTTACTAAGAAAAAAGTCTGGTGCTAGATGGTGGCCGAGATGCAAAAGTGAAAAAAAAAGGCATGGTATCTGCCATTGGAGAGCCTGAAGGCTAAGGGAGAGAGACGGGCATGACTGCAGACCGTAATGGTCAAGGGCCAAATAGAGAAGTGGAATGAGCATTTCACAGACTTCAGAGGAGAGAGTCAAAGAGGTAATTTTAACCCGAGTTAGTTAGAGGATCCTTAACTTGAGAGGCCCAGGATACAGTGGGAAGAGCACTTGGTGAGTCAAGGAAACCAGGGTCAAATCAGGTCAAGGCAATACGAATGATTAAGTGCCTACCACATGCCAGGCATTGTGCTCAGCCCTGGGGACACTAAGAAAGAAAAAACAGTTCCTGTCCTCAAGGAGATGACAATCCAACAGGGGAGACAGCATGCAAACAATGATGTCCAAGCAAGATTTATACGAAATAACTTGGAGATAACCTCGGGAGGAAAGCACTGGCAATTAAAGGGGACTCTTCCAGGAAAGGCTTCTTGCAGAAGGTGGGATTTTAACTGAGATTTGCAATAAGCCAGAAGGGTAGATCTGAGAAAGGAGAGCATTCCAAGCACGGCGGAGAGCCAGTGCAAATGCAGTTGGGATATGGTATGTTGTATGTGTGAGAAACAGCAAGATAAAGAGGGAAGAAAGATGTAAGAAGACTAGAAAGGTGAGTAAGGGCTAGGCTGTGATGGGCTTTGAAAGGCAAACAGAAGATCTTTTGATCCTGGAGGTAATAGCGAGCCACTGAAATTTATTGAAGGGGGGGGAATGACACGTCACATCTGTGCTTTGATAGACCAGCCAGCAGGCTATTTCAATAGTCCTGGTGTAAGGTGATAATGGTCTGCATCAGGGTGGTGGCAATGTTAAAGGAAAGATGGGAGCATATACAAGAGATGTTACATAGGCAGAATTGGCAGGACTTAGAAACGGATTGAAAATGAGCAGTGGGGGCAAGAGACAGTGAAGAGCAGAGAATAACAACTAGGTTGCATGCCAGGGTGACTGGGAGAATACCGGTGCCTGCCACAGTGATAGGAAAGTTAAGGAGAAAGAAGGGCTGGGTGTTGGGGGTAGATAATGAGTTCGGTTTTGGACATAGTGTTGAGATGAAGATGTCTTCAGGACATCCAGTTCGAGATGTCCAATAGGCAGTTGGAGATTCAAAGGGAAAGGATGAATAGAGCTAAGAGTCATCTATATTGAGGGGTAAAAGAAGAGGACCCAGGACGGAGCCTGGGGGACACCTACAGTTAGAGACCTCACCCTGGACGAAGAGCTAGCAAAGGACGTCAAAAAGGAACTATCAGGCAGGTAGGAGAATCAGAGGGATCAGTGTCTTGAAAATGAGACAGAAGAGAGTATCAAGGAGGAGACCCATCCCCAAAGGATGTGAGCTATGCTGAGACCCTCTGAACATGCCACAGAGGAATAGAACCATGGATTGAGAGCTGGAAGGCTCCTCAGAGAGCATCTAGCCCAATGCCCTCATTTTATGTATGGGGATACCAAGGCCAAGAAAGGTTAAGTGACTTCCACAAGGTCATACTGGTAGCAAATAGCAAAGCTTGGATTCAAATTTAAAATCCTGATGCCAAATCCAGCAATCTTTCCACTGAGCCATGTCCGTCTCTCCCCTTGCCCCAACAAATCTTAATTGCTAAATTGTATTCAAACTCAAGGCTGACAAGACAAACTTTCTCTTTTCTAGTCTGAGTTGGCTGCCACTCCTCCCATGCCATCCTTATCCTCATCCCCATCCCCCTCCTCATCCCCATCCCTATCCCTATCCTCATCCCCATTCCCTCCTTAGCCCCATCCTTAAGCCCATTCCCATCCCTATCTTCATTCCCATCCCCTTCCTTATTCTTATCCGTATTTTCACCCCCATCCCCTTCTTTATCCCCATGCCCATCCTCATCCCCCCTCCCTCTCCCATCTCCTTTCCTGACTCCTTCCAGTGCTCTGATTCTTTCAGAAAAGAGCCCTGACCCCTTTCCTAGCCAGGGAAGTGGCCAGTCTAGCCAGAGGTGTTTTCAGAGCAGGTTTCTGGTTTTAAAGCAGCAGCTCAGACCCCAAATTCCTCCACCTCCATTGTAGCATGAACTATGTTTTGGTTGGGGTCTCACACCCATTCCCTGCCTGTGAAAAACACATTGTGTTCTGTCACGAGGCTGGTCAGTCCAGCCACGTTCCTCATAATCTCTCTCTAACATGCACCGCTGGGCCCTAACTATCCTTGGCCGACAAGAAGCAATTTGGTTGTAGAAGAAGTCTTGAATCAGCAGAGGAGGATTACCAGTCGTTTCCAGTGTTAAGAAGTATTTCACTTGAGAATCTTCCCTGTGCCTCTCTGACTAGCTTGTCCCTGATGACTCTTTATTTTTGATTCTTCACTTAAGCAACAAAGAAGGAATGTTTTCACAGATACAGCAGAATTCAAGAAGAGGGTTGTATATGAAACGGTGGCTCCCTGGTGGCACTTTGAGGGAAAGGGGGCACTGAGGATTGGCAGAGCTGAGTCCCTGAGGATCTAGCCAGACAGACTAGCAGTAAGTTGGGGTTCTTGCCCTGCTGGGTCTTGGCTCCCTGATATTTTGTGTTTGCCTAGGTCATGAAGCTCCAGGGGCTTCCTACTGCCTCTAGGATAAAATATCCATGCCTCAGTTTCACATTGAAAGCCCTTACAATCTAGCTTCAGGCTTCCTGCAGATTTACTGTATAGTGTTCTCCTTCATACACTCTGTGTTCCAGCAAAGCTGAGGACACTTGCCTGAGGACATTCCACTACCCCAGCCCTCCCCCATCTCTGCATCTTTACTCAGACATTCTCCCACTTGTGGAATGAACTCCTTCTCACCTCTGTCTCTTAGAATCCTGACTTTTCTTCTAGGCTCATGTCATTCGTCCCCTCCTCCGTAAGACCTTTTTTCTGTGGTTAGTGGGCTCCCTCTCCCATATTGTTGCTTTCAATCTACCTTGAATCAACTACATGCTATCTCTCCCAAGAGAATGTAAATTCCTTGAGGGCAAGGAATGACATTTTTGTCCTTTGTATCCTCAGGGCCTGGCATGAGGCAGGCAGGCACGTACTTGACAAGCACTTGTAGAAAGGTCCGATTTCCCCTCAAGGCTCAGCGTTGATGGGGTGAGGCTGAGTGGAAGGGGCAGAAGTTCCAGGGTATGTACCTACCTGCAGGGAGATGTTGGCCTGGGGTCGGATCTTGGCAGAGGCCAGCTCCACGTAGGAGTCCTTGCCCACAAAGTTGACGGTGATGAGCTTCTCACACCTCCGCCCTGCAAAGCCGGCGAGGCAGCGGCAGGTGGGTTCCTGCTGCACCACGATGCACTGGGCCCCGTTCTGGCACTCGTACTGGTCACAGGGACTGGTCTGCAGCAGCACCATGGGTGGTGGGTGCTCACAGAATAGACCGCTGCGGGGGAGGAAGGAGCTTGAGGTCAGGAAGCTCTGCCCAGTGACCCCAGAGCTTGGCTTTAAAGATGGTGAAGCGACAGACAGTGGGGTGTCGGCTACAGAGAATTGACCTTGGAGGGAGGAAGCCCTGGTTCCAGGTCCTGACTCTGACACATTCTGGCTGTGTGATTTTAGGCAAGTTGCTTTACCTCTAAGGGCCCTAGGAAATTTTTAAGACTTTAAGTTACTGATCTGCAGTAGAAATGTCTTTACGCCACCCAAAATTACAAAGTTAGACCAAACAACAACCAGAAACCCCATGTGGAAAAGAAATACCTCTGAATAGGAAGTTGGCACACTTGGCTTCTTCTCCCTGCTTTTTTTTTGGGGGGGGCTGATTGCCTCAAAAAGTGATGTGCCTAGGGTCACACAGCTAGTAAATGTCTGAGGTTGGATTTGAACTCAAGTTCTTCTGACTCTATCCACTGTGGGTCACCTAGTTCCTTCTTCTCCTTGTTCTGCCCAGCTATGTGATCTTAGGCAAATCACTTTACCTTCTGGGCCTGAGTTTCTCCTTCTGAAGATGAAGGGGTTGGACTAGATGATCTCTAGTGACCCTTCTTCCAGCTCTACTCTTCTTCAATTCTTGGATGATACTAATTTATATGCACATTTGCATATCTCTGCATCCCACTCAGATGCTGCCATTCCTAGTCTTCTCTAACCCTCTGCTAAGTGCTGTGTGAGCCCCTCTTCTTTCCTCAACTTCTGCTTCTTCCCAAAGTGAACTGCCCCGACCCTTGCTCCATCTCTAAGGTCTGAGCTTTCCTAATTGTTACCCTTCCCATTTATTACTTCCTTTGTCCCAGAGACAGACAGACATACTTGTGGTCATTGGATAGAAAGGAAGCATGGAAATATGGACTCTCACTCATGGGACTGGGAGAATGGCTTCTGCCAATCTATCAGCAAACATTGATTAAGTAGCTACTATGTTCCAGACACTGTGCTAAGTTCTGGAGATATATATATATATATATATATATATATATATATATATATATATATATATATATATATATATATATATGTATATATGTGCAATAAACAAGACAGTCCCTACCCTCAGCGAGCTTGCATTTTAGTGAGAAACTTGGGTATGTCATCCTGTCTTTGTCCTTATTAGACTCCCAGACAGTACCACTATATGGTACCATGTGACCCAGGCTTAATAGTCAGAAAATAGGGGTTCCAGTCCTAGCTTTAATATCTCTTTGCTATGCGCTTGGTCAAAACATTTTCACCAGCTGTAAAATACATGGATAAATGAAGGCTCTGGGATTTCCATCAGTATGTGGAACTGCCTCCGTCACTGCAGGCACAACCTCTTTCTGACTTTTCAGGAAGGTCCCAGACAGTTGCCTGAGGCACCAACACAGGGGACCCAGTCTGCTCAGGGTGCACAGCTAGTAAGTGGCAGCAGGCGTGGGATCTGCGCTCAGGCTGTTCTGACGTCAAGCCCAGCATGTGCCCTGCCTCGTCTACATAGCTACAAAATAGGGCTAACAAGCTCTGCCCTGCCTTCCTCACAGAGTTGTTGTGAGGATCCTTTTTGAATAAGCACAGCATAGGAACACAAGGTGTTACGGTAATAGCCCCCAGAGTCACTGCATTTTCTTCAGGAGGATTTTTTCCTTTGGTCATTAATAAGCCTCACTGCCCCTTCCAGTCTGGGCCTGATCTTCTCCCTCCCCACAGTACACTCCTCCACACATACCTGAAGCCCTGGGGGCAGATGCACGTGTAGCCATTGACCGCGTCCACACACTGGGCCCCGTGACGGCACTTGTGGGCCACACAGTCATCATCATCGGTCTCACAGAGCTTCCCGCTATAGCCAGGCAGACACTCGCACCTAGAAAACAGGCCACGCCCTGCTGGTCAGTGGTGTCAGTCCACTCAATACAATAAGCTCGTAGTGGTAAGCCTCCTCCAGGTGCCAGGCATTGTGCTAGGTGCTAAGGACACTGAGACTGAAACACCCCAGTCTCTGCCCTCAAGGAGCTTCTGGCTACCGGGGTGGGAGTGGGGGTGTGGGGGTGGGTGGGGGGACAACCTATAAGTAGACAGAAAGTAATTTCAGTGGGGAAGTGCACTACGACCTGGGGCCTCAGAAGAGGCCTCTTTTAGCAAACGGGACTGGAATGGAGCCTTGGAGGGACTGAACCTCTGAGAGGCAGAGAGAAAGGAGGATGGGGATGAGCTTCCCGGGCACAGGGCCTAACCCACACAAAGGCAAAGCAGTGGGAGAGGCAACATCACATCCTAGGACAGCTAGGCTGAGCACAGAGTATGTGAAAGGGCGTAATGAACAATGAGCCTAGAAATGGAGGCTGAAGCAAACTGGGAGAGCCTTCAAACGACAAGCAAGGGAATCTGAATCTTATCCTAGAGGCAACAGGGAGCCACTGGAGCTTCTTGAGCAGGGGTGTGACGTGGTCAGATAGAGGCTGGGGCAATAGCAATTTGGCAGCTGGGTGGAAGAGACATGGAGCAGGAAGGAGAGCGACGGAGACAGGAAAACCAGTCAGGAGGCTGTGGCAGTCCGGGGGAGAGATCGCGAAGGCCTATGCATGGCAAGAGGCCACGTGGATGAAGAGATGGGAGATGCCAGAAAGACACTCGTTGTCAGGACAGAGCCAACAAGATTCAGCAACTGATCGTATAGGGAGGGCGAGGAAGGGTCAAGAGCTGCGGATGATTCAGGTCGCCAGGCTAAGCATCTGGAAAGCTGCGGTGTACTAGGAAGAAGGATGGATTTGGGTAAGAGATAAAAGAGCTCTAGTTTGGACAGATCGAGGCTGAGAGGCCTCTGGGACACCTAGTTTGAAATGTTCAATAGGCTAGTGGTGACAAGGGGTTGGGGCGTAGGAGAGAGATAGACTGAATATGTAGATTCGGGAGTCATCTGCATAGAGATGGTAACTGAACCACGGGGGCTGATGGAATCACCAAGGGCTTATTGAGAGAAAAGAGAAGGCCAAAGACAGAACCAGGCGGACCCCCAACATTAGTGGGTGGGACACAGATGATGACCCACTATGGAAGAATGAGAAGTAATGGCTAGACAGGTAGGAGCGTAACCAAAAGAGAATGATATCTTGAAAATCTAAGGAGGACAAAGTGTCCCCAAGAAGGAGGTGGTCAGCGGTGTAAACTCCTACAGAGAGGTCACTATTTAAACCAGAAATTTAAGTAACTGCATTCATTAATTCCATAAGTATTTGTTTTCTACTGTATGTCTTAGGCATTAGAATAGAAACAAAGTTTAGATAACACACAATCTCTGCCCTCATGAAGCTTGCAGTCAAAAGGGAGATAGAACAAATATATATATAATTATACATCACATTAAGGTGTCAGAAGATTATAATGTAAAGTGTTAAGTCAGGTCCTAGGCATCAGGGAAGTAGGTGGTATGTGAAGTATGGATAGGAATTCCCCAAGGGAAAAAAGAGGAGACCATTTCTGACATAAGCTTTAGCTCATACTTGTCTCCTGAGCTGGAATATTGGGCCCTACTCTCACCTTTCCTCTACCTGTTAAAACCCTCCAGAGCTTGTCCTGACTCTTCCAGCCCTTTGAGATTGTCTTCTTCTCCAAACTCTGACAGCACTTAGCATTTATATTTCAGTGTTTCTAGGAGCTGTAACTCTGTCATGTGAGTATTCCCTGTGTATCACATTTCCTCTTTTTCTTACCAGATTGTCTTTGAGTGGCCATAGCTGAAAAATAACCACCTTGGAGTCAATTGACGATGGACCTCTCTGACTTTAGCTAGCTGCGCCTCAGACAATAGACATATAGTCAATCACTGGACCCATGTTAGAAAGTATACTTATTAATCAATAGCAATTAATCAACAAGTATTTATTGTTGTTCTGTTGTTTCAGTCACATCTGACTCTGTGATTCCTTTGGGGTTTTCTTGGCAATGATGCTAAAGTAATTTGCAATTTATTTCTCCAGCTCATTTTATAGATGAGAAAAGTGAGGCAAATAGGGTTAAGTGACTTGCCCAAGGTCACACAGCTAGTAAGTATCTGAGGCTGGATTTGAACTGGGTCTTCCTGACTCTAGGTCCAGCACTCTATCCACTATACCACCTAGCTACCCTACTAGGTGCTGGGGAAACAAGTAATAAAGAATAAAACAAGCCCTACTTACAAAGAGTTTACATTCAAATGAGATGAACAACAAAAACAAATTAATGCACATATAGATACACACATATATGCACACATGCAGAATAAATATAAAGAGAATGAATTAAAATAAATGCAAAGTAGTTAAATGCAAGGTGGTGTGGGAGAGAGGCTGCTAGCAGTTGGAGGGACCACCTTCTACATGGAGGAGGGGCTTTGGAGACTAGTCTTGAAGGAAGAGAGGGATCCTGTGAGATAGAAATGGGAGGGAGGGCATTCTAGCCATGAGGATGTTCATGTAAAGGCAGAGACAGAGATTGTACTTGGAGTGACATGAGAAGAATGGAGACAAAGCCAATGTGGCTGGTTGTAGAGCATGAGACGGGGAATAATATACAATCACGTTGCAAAGATAGGTTAGGGTCATGGTGTGAGGGGATTTCAAAGCCAAATGGAATTATAGATTCTAGAGGCAACAGGGAGCTAATGGAGTACATTAGGTAGGGGAGTAACATGGTCAGATCTTCACATAAGGAAAATTTAGCAGCAGTGTGCAAGATGAACTTGAGTGGGGAGAGATGAGGTAGGGAAACCAATCAGAAGGCTGCTGCAATATCTAGGTAAGAGCTGTAGAGGGGCCTAACTAAGATGGCGCTGTGCGAATAGACAGAATGGATCAGATGTAAGACGTTGTGGAGATAAAAATGACAACTCAGTGGAGTCTAGTATAACACTGAGGAAATGAATCTGGATGACCGGAAGGACAGGGGTGCCTTTGACAGAAACAGGGATGATTGGAAGAGTTGTTTCTGCACATGTTGAATTGGAGATGTCTCATATCTGAATTTGAGAAATATCCAGTTTAAATGTTCCATAGGTAAGTGACATAGTGAAACTGAAGTTTGTGGGGAAGACTGGGGCCAGATATACACATCTGAGTCTTAAGTATAGAGATGATAAAGTCATTGGAGCCTATGAGGTTATGGGAATGGGGAAGGGGGGAAGAGAGGGAGAAGAGAGAAAGAGAGGGAGAGGGAAAGAGGGAGAGGGGGAGGGAGACAGGGGAGGAGACAGGGGAGGGAGGGAGAGAGAGAGAGAGAGAGAGAGAGAGAGAGAGAGAGAGAGAGGAGAAGAGAGAGAGAGAGAGAGAGAGAGAGAGAGAGAAAGGGAGAGGGAGAAAGAGAGAGGGAGAGAGGGAGAGGGGGAGGGAGAGAGAGAGAGAGAGAGGGAGGAAATAAGAGGGCCTTAGACAGAATGGCCACAGTTAAGGAGCATGATATGGATGATGAACCAGCAAAGGAGATGGAGCAGGGGTGGCTATAGAGTGAAGGGAAGAGAACCAGGCGAAGGGAAGTATCACACAGAGGAGAAAGTACCTAGGAAGAGACAGTAGCCAGCTTACTTACATGTAGCAGATAAGGTGAGAAGCATGAGAACTGAGAAAAGAACATCAGATTTGGCAATTAAGAGATAATTAGTCATTTGGGAGAGATCACTCTCCGTTGAGTGATGAGGATAAAAGCTAGATTATTCCAAGGGGTTGAGAAGTGTTTGAGAGAAGTAGAGGCTGTGATTGTAGATTGCTTTTTTTTTTCTGGGAATTTGGCTGAAAACAGGAGCCAAGAGATTTTAGTTAAGGTTTTTTAAGGATCAGACAGACTTGGAGGGCATGTTTGGAGGCGGTAAGGAAAGGATCAATAGATAAAAATAGCTAGCATTTGAAGCTTTGCAAAATACTTTTTATAAATATTAACTCATTTGTACCTCACACCAACTTTGCTAAGAAGGTACAATTATGCCCACTTTATATATGAGGAAATTTGGGCAAATAGGTCAAGTGATTTGCTTCAGCTCACACAGCTAGAAAGTGTCTGAGGTCGGATTCGAACTCAGGTCTTCCTGACTCTAGGTCCAGGGAGGTCTCTACTACACCACCTAGCTGCCTCTAACAGAGAGAGGTTGAAGATTCAAAAGGAAAAAAAGACGATTAAGGTCGCAGTTTGCTGGAGCGGGCAGGAGGGAATAGGATGAAGTGTGTGTGTGGAGCCTATGCAGGTGGCAAGGACAAGGATCATCTCATTGGTAGAGACTGGAGGAAAGGAGAAGAGACTGGGGATTATCGAGGGCTTCTGAGATGAAGAGAATCAGAGACAAGAGGGGTTCTGTTGAATTGCCTCCATTTTCTCAGGAAAGAGGGGAGGTCCTCATCTGAGAGAGCAGGCAGGGGAAAAGCGGGAGGCTGGAGAAGGCAAGAGCAGGCTTAGAAGAGCTTCTGCGGGGAGCGAGGCAGGGAGTCAGTACGGCAGGACCCAAGGGCTGCTTTGCTGCTGTGAGGGCCTGGCTGAAGCTGGTTCACTTGAATTTATCAGGTGCCTCGTCGGCGTGGCTGTGTGACTTTCTCCGGCTCTCATCGGCAGACCACGAGAGGGAATGGAGAATGTGGTTAATGGGAGTACTCTAGGGTTGAGGTGGGTCAGGAAATGAGCAGTGACAGGAACACTGGGGGAATGGCTCAAGAGCAGAGGAAACTGTTGACTTGAGAGTTAGCATGGGGTAGTAGATAGGGCACAGGACTGGGAGTCAGGAAGAGCTGGGTTCAAATCCCACCTCAGACGCTTACTAGTTATGTCATCCTAGACGAGTTATTTAATCTTTCCATACTTCAGTTCATGCATCAGGGGGTTGGACCTGATGACCTCTAATGTCCCTTA